AGATTTCATGTGGGGAACGTCGACCTCAGCTTACCAAGTGGAAGGTGGATGGGATGCGGACGGTAAGGGACTTGGCAGCTGGGATAAATTCACTCACGCAGGTGGCAATTCTTTCTTGAACCAAACAGGCGACATAGCTTGCGATAGCTACCACAAAACGGACGAAGACGTGAAGCTTCTGAACAACCTCGGGGTTGGATATTACAGGTTTTCAATCTCGTGGTCTAGAATTTTACCGGAGGGAACGCTAGAGAAGGTGAATTCCGCGGGAGTGAAGTATTACAACGACTTGATCAACTCGCTTCTTGAAAGCGGAATTACTCCAATGGTCGCTTTGTACCACTTCGATTTACCCCAGGCTCTGCAAGACAGGTACGATGGCTGGTTGAACCCAGAAATAGCCGACGTTTTCAACGACTACGCCAAGTTTTGCTTTGAAACGTTTGGTGATCGAGTCAAGTGGTGGATTACAATAAACTAACCGTGGGATGCAGCTTTCTTAGGCCACGGACTCGGTGTTACAGCGCCAGGCAAGAAAAACCTTAGCACAGCCACCTATAAAGGTATAGTAATTGTCAGTAAGACGTATCTCCTTAATAATTAATTCTCTTAATCAAGAGAAATAATTGGGAGTTTTAAAACATCAGAAACATGGAATGATATTTTTATTTAGCTTTGGGGAGTTTAGATGTTTGATTTCGGAAGATGCACTGCACGAAAAATCGCCTTTACGGCGCGTCAAATGTGTGGTTAAAGGTTTGTAAAGGCCACATTTGCACGCTTTTGACGATCTTTGAGGCGAATCAAAGATCATTTTTGAATAAACCTTTGCCACCAAAATCAAAGGCGTGAAAGGCCGTTTTTACTCACCTGTGAACGCCTTTGTTTTAGGGTTAAAGGTGATCCTTTGATACACCTTTGCGCACTGTCAAAGGTGGGTCAAAAATGTAATCAAATTTGTCTGCGATTCAAGTCAAAGGTTTGCCAAAGACGTGGTCGAAGATGCCTGTGACGCAGGCCAAAGGTTTGCCAAAGGTACCCTGCGCGTTCCGCGATGGCGCGTCTCGCCCGAACTTCTCGCTCGCGCACCTCTTTCGCGCTTCGCGACCGTTTGTCGCGTTTCGCGAGATCCACATCTTATACCCCTTTTTCTGCTTGCTACACTAGCTTTGTAGCTCTGCATACGAAAGATGCAATCATATCCGTACTCTTGTTTTATGTCTGACAAGTTTTGAAGAATATATCAGCTTTAATATGGTTCTTTTGTGCCAAAACTATTGACAAATGTTCACGGAAAAGCGGCCCGGAAAGATCATTGCATCTGATTTTAAGAAAATAAATGTGCCCAACTTCATCTCGGGGAGCAACTTCAGAATACCCGGCCACACACGCCTGCCTTAAATCTACTGCTTCCGTGGTCCGTGCTCCGCAGTCCCGTAGTCGATGAGCGGGAAATTAATTAAGTGTTGAACTGAAGTGCTACCGCAGTCCGCAGTCCCGTAGTCGATGAAACGAATAAGAAATCATAGTTAAGTGTTGAACTGAAGTGCTACCGCAGTCCGCAGTCCCGTAGTCGATGAATAAGAAATAAATTAAGTGTTGAACTGAATTGCTACCGCAGTCCGCAGTCCCGTAGTCGATGAAACGAATAAGAAATGAACCAAGTGAAAAAATTGGAGTGCTACCGCAGTCCGCAGTGTCGTAGTCGATGAATAAGAAGTGAACTAGGTGTCATAACTGGAGTGCTACCCCCGGGGGGGGGGGTACTTTGGGAATTTCTGGGTGGGGATGTGCCGCTGTGACCCTGGACTCCTTAGCCTATACCAGAGCTAGTTCAGCTGAATTTTGCTAACCTATACTAGAGTAAACTCCCCAAATCCNCAAAATGGTAAACAATACATCAATATCCTACATGCACCAAAGCCAGATATGGGGTTATATGGCAATCATTTAAACAACAGATTGAAATAACTTATAAATTAGAGAACACTATTTGTACAACAGTATGGAACAAATTAACCTTATTGGACATTGCAAATGGCAAGGCTGTCTGTAGAATGTCACAAATTTC